GGAACACAGACAGACATCACAACAGAAAGGTTATCCTGACAATCGATCTATTTTAGACAATTGACATATTAATGTTTAATTATAATTCGTTGTGATTGATTATTGATAGTACAATTGATCTAATTTTGTCTACCTGTATGGAGGACTGACTATAATTCGTTGTATTCAGTTGTCCATACAGACCATTGGCAACTTATTCCCTTTACAGGTAATTTTAAATCTATGTATGCAAATACTGGACATATTCATGACCAGTTATTAAAATTATATTCCCTTTATTTGAGCTAAAAATTGCTACATCTGACTTCAGTATCATTCTGCTATAGACAGTGACATTGAGTGGTATGGCTCTCTGTGAGCCTCCTTGGTGGAACTGTCTTTGGTGGAGTAAAGAGAGAGTCGTCCTGCTGAGACCTCCGCTCCCCAGAACTCCGCTTGGATATCAGTATCGATTGTAGAGCTCTTGTTGAGCCTCCTTGGTAAGCAGTCGTTAGCTTAGAACGTAGTTAGGCCTCCTCTCATTTTAGAGAGTTGTCCTGCTAAGGCCTCGATTCTTAGAGCTCCGTCTGGGTGGTCATGCCAGGTTGAATGGCTTTCTGTGAGCCTCCTTGGCGGAACCACCATTAGGGAAGCGTTGTTAGGTTTCCTCTTGATTAAGAGAGTCGTCATGCTGAGACCTCCACTCCTTACAGCTTCGCATAAAATAACATGACAAAGCGTATGCCTCCTTGGTGAGGTGTAGAATGTAGCAGGCCTCCTCTCACTTTAGAGAATCGTCGTGCTGAGGCTTCTGTTCTTAGAGCTCCCCTTGGATACTATATCAGGTCATTGGCTCTCTGCTAGCCTCTTTGATGATATTGTTTTAGAGTGTTACTAGGTCTCCTCTCATTTTGAAAGTGGTTTTCCTGAGACCTCCATTTGTCAGGGGTATAGTGTCCCCTGAAGGGCCAGAATACCAGGCGCTGAGCTCTGCCCATGGAGTATGTATAGCCAGGGTTTTTGGCCCTAGGGAAGAGAGTCACTCTGGAGCAGGAAACTGTGACTCCGGACCTAGCTCCATGTCTAACTATGAAATCACTTTATTTCAGCTCTCACATTCCCTCTTCATTCTTTCAGCAGGTTGGAGTGGGCATTTCTTCCTCATATCGTCCTAGGACGTAGTGCGAGTTTAAATTCGATAGGGAACGCCTCAGGTTACGAAAGTAACCATGACTCCCTGAGAAGGGTATGCCTGCCCACATATCCTTCAGACAAAGAAGTTGTTGATGTGTACTAAAGATACCGTTTTAAACTCTGGTCACACCGTTAGTGATGTCATAGGTTGTCACTAGTGTTGCTTTCGTCAACGAAAATTATGACTAAATATCGTCGTCAACGAACCTTTATCACGTGACGAAAACGAGACGAGACGCAACGTAAATGCTGGCCATGTGATGATAACTATAATTAAATGTATGTTACGTTCCTGTATTGCGTGTGTGTGTTCTCTTGGGTTTCTCTTCCCGCTCTCTCTCGGTTACTTTTGCTTTTGCAGGTACCCGTGATTGGCTAAGTGACCTGTCAATCATTGTTAGCGCTGACGTCACCTCTTCTCGCTGTCGCCAATGGGAACAGGCCACCTGGGGAATAAGAGTGCACGCCAGACGTTTCCACAGAAGCTCTCGGCTCGCTGAGACTCAGACCACGCAGCTTTCTGTCATGACTTTGTATACCCTGTTAAGGCTGTGGTTCTCGTCACTCTGTGTAATGCTGAGTTTATGTATGAGTGAACTCTTCCTGTGTTTAATTCTCTGATTTTATGTAACTTGCTCTACAGCAGACCGCTGAAAGTTACTAGTGCGGAGAGAGAGATAGACAGGTAGCATGTCACGTGACATACACTGCAACACGCAGGGGTTTTCGCTTTTGTCTAAACACATTAGGTTAGGGGCGAGTGCCACTCCCTGTATTTCTGTTTTCTGTTAGTTAGTGCAGATTAGGTAGGGTGTCTTGGACGCTGAAGATTATTGTTTTCTTCTTTATTTTCTTAGTTAGGATTAGAGCTTATTTAAAGGTGCATTGCGCAACATTTCATGTTAAAAATACCCGTTTTTCTAACCCATACATGCTTAAACAATTGCCTGATGGGCTGAATGAGCCCTTCTCTGATCACTGCGATTGCCTCTATAATCCTGTACAGTAAAATAAATAAGAGGGATTCGGGCCGGAACGTGAGACTGGGCGTGACGTCATGCGCGTTCACGCTCCCCTGGCTATGTCTGGCAGGTTTGTGTATTCGCCGCCATTCTCCGTATTAGCGAAGACAACTCGAGCGACAAAACTTCAGTCAACTTTCGACAAAAGTAGAAGATGGATTCAAAGAGACCGGCTTGTAGTTCATAAACCCCAACGCAAACTCCACGCAAGACAAAGACAGTAAGGCAGTTTCGCTTGTCGCCAGAGGGGGGCATAGTTCTGCAAAAACTCAGAGAGGTGCGCAATGCACCTTTAACAGCTAGACTTCGTTTGGTTTTGTTATTTTCTTTTCTTTGGCGCCGTCCACGTCTATCTTTTTCTCTTTTCATTAACTTAATCTATCTTACAGAAATTCTGTATCTCACGTCCATTTATATATATATATTAATCTATATTCGTATAGATTAATTCACTTCACTTTTGCCACTTACCTTGTTTACTGAATAAAGGTTTTGGCTTTTTGCACAGTAAGCTTGATTGTTTGGTCTTTTGTACAAACCATGGCTTATATATGTTCCTCTATAATGCCACATTTAAAAGGTTGGACTTCCGAACCTAATTCGGGGGTCGTAACAATGTATAATGTCATATTGTTGACGAATAAAAACGAGACTAAATGTGGTTTACAAAATAAAAACTATGCTAAAATGTCTCTTCATTTTCGTTGACCAAAACGAGATGAGACGAAATGTTATTTAACGCTATTTCGTCTCGTTTACTCGCGTTATTATTTAGCAGCATTTCTGTTTCCTATGTGTGTCTCACTTCAGGGGCTGCATCAGATCGCACTGCGCAGACGCAGGCGACTTCACATCCTCAAGCCCCACTCGTGGCATTAGAAGATGCAGCTGCGTGAGTTAGGCTGGTTAGGCTACGCCTGTTTCACACATACTTCGTGTGTAGTGCGTATGTGGTGAGTGTTGCGGTATGTATGCAGGAGCAGCACGCGCTATTGTGCTTTTACATATGCTGCGTTTGCAGTGCGCAACTGATCTACGGCTGTACCACAAACACAACATTTATCCTCTATTTTTTATTTCAAATCAATATTTTTATTATCAGCGAGTTTTATAAAATAATACAAAAAGTTTCAGCATTGCGATTCTATTTTTACACAGTAGTTATAGGTCTACACTCTTTCACAGACGTATTCACGTTTAAACTCAATACACATAAAAAAAAACAAATTATTCAATGCACTTCTATATAGATTACTCACCGCAAACCTTTTAAATTAAAACATACAATTAACAAAAACAGCTCTCTCATACCTTTTCTTTTGCATTTAAATCTTTTTTACAAGAAATATTGTGCGTCACAATAACTTGTTTTCCCACCTCCACGAAGAGACGATAGGCCATTATGTCGCGTTGTTGAGGTAGGCTACTGTATAGTTTTCCTGGCTTTAATTACCCCGGGCTTAAAGTTAAAAAGAAAATGACTGTGAAAAATAGTAGTATAATTGAATTAAATGCATTTATGGTGAGATTACTATATTTTCATGTCAATCCGTGTTCATTCTGACCACGAACCATGCGCTGTCACTTTAATTCAGCGCGTGCAGCACAGCAGAAATAGACTCAGCGCGGAATGGATCTCTGCACTGCTGTATACCGTATACGCACCGTCTTATTATAGTTCTATAATAAGAATAGATTGTTTGAAATGGGTTTGGCTAAAAGAACATTTTGGTTTCGTGTATACTACTAGGTACTTATACTATATTGACTGGGTTAAATAGAATTGCATTACTAAAAAGAGACTAAAATACAATATTAATTGACTAAAACTAGACTAAAATATCATCAGTTTTCGTCGACTAAAACTAGACGAAAATAGTCATGGATAATTCTGACTAAAATAAGACTAAAATGGTCAGACTTTTAGTCGACTGAAACTTGACTAGACTAAAAAGAGTATGAATGTGACTAAAACTAATAAAAACTAAAATGACAGCTTGGCACAAAGACTAGACTAAAACTAAAATTAAAACAGGCCGCCAAAAACAACACTAGTTGTCACCGGCCAATGTTATTGTCGTGTTTAGACACGTGCTTCAGACACCGATCACGCTGTCAACACCGGTTCCCCATAGAGTCTTAGGACGCAGTGTCTCATTCCCTTTCTCAGGGAACCATGGTTACAGTTGTACCCTGAGACATTTTTCTTCAAATGTGACATGTGAATGTATTTTCTTAGATTGAAATATATAGGGTGAAATGTATTTTTAAATGCTTTTAAAATATATATTTATATTTTAAAATATGTTTTCAAAAATATACAAAAAATGGCCAAAAACATATTTATGTAAATATTTTTAAATATATATTTGAAAAGATCCCATACGGCAAAAATAAATAAATAAATATTTCTGATCCGATCACAAGAGGTCAGAAACACTGCTGCTCAACACGAGTCTCTGATTTCAAACAACACTTAATATGTCAGTGCATGACGATAAAGGAGTAAAAAACATGCTGAACTAAAAATAATCTCACACACACACACTCACTCACAAACACACACACACACACACACACACTCACACACACCTCTGTATAACATATGCTCACAGCAGCTCACAGTCCACACTTGCTCTGCAGCAGCATTTGGAGATTTAGTCCACCAAGACAAAATTCATTCATTTAACACTGTCATATCCATTAACACACTATAACTATACCAAGAGTTGTAATGACTGAACTGTATGTTTTGTAGTTTTACAGCTGACTGTAACTTCATACAAGAGCAGTTAGGCCACAAACCTCAGTGGACGCCTCAGTGGTTGCAAGCGGCCCAGAGCTGTGGTGAAGGGTGTTGATGTTGAGCAACTGGATCATTTCCTCATGGGCCATTGGTTCTGATACTCCAACAGACGACACATACAGTTCTATGTCATCATTTTCCTCCTAAAAACATGAAGAATGGTGTATGAACAATATCCTTTATAAGATATTTAGAATCAACAGAACGGTTTTAAAGCCCATGCAAAAATATATAGTACATAATGAATTTATCCTATATCCATTATACAGTTAATAACATGAAGATTTTAGATAATGGTCATACTTTCAAAAAAGAATTATGTTTTTATTTTATTTGGTGATAGAGCTTTGTATCAACAGTATAAAACAGTATAAACTATGCCTAGAATTGCGCCTAAACTAACAAGACTTCACATTAATTGTGTTACCAAATTGCATATCTACACAGGTCTACAGGAAATATGGGCCAGGAGTGATTGGGGATTGTGCCCTCTGCTGGTGGGAACAGAAGCTACAGCCTCAGATCTTCCAGACAGAGGAACACTGACATCAAAGATCAGAAAATAACTTTTAAGATAAAACTTTCATTGACTCTCTCCCAAACCACAATGGGAACTGAGAGAGGCAGAAGAACAGGGACAACCCTGTGTGATGCAATGAAAGATTAAACGTTTGCAACAATGTAAAGCCCTCATATCATAAGGAATCCTTGATCTTTTGAGAAACTATTATTGTACAGTGAAACCAATGAAATGAAAGTCAAAACTTCCTCCCTCAGTTAAAAAGAGCTTTTATTGAAACTGAGCGGTAACAACTTCTGCAGCTTTCAGATCTCAGACAGATGAACATCAACACATGACCACATTTATATGTCAATAACGCCTACTGGATGTGAGGCAGTAGAATAGATGCTTTTTATTCGTAACAGCAGAACAACTATCAAAATAAAATTTGCATTCAGAGTAAACAAGCAGATTGGTTATTAGTAAGGGTGAGTGTGTGTATAATAGTCATTGAAAATTAAACAAATGATATGTTACTAAATTATCACTGTTTTAGGCAAAAAAAAAAAACTAACATTATAACTTGACCCAAGAGGGAAAAATTATTAAAATATATGATTATTCATGATAAAAATTGATGTACAGTATAATATTTCAAAGATTAAATACATAAAAACACATAATAATTTTACATATAATGATTGGAACAACAATGTAAATATATGATTAACATATATCTGCCGTTCTACATGTAAACTACACAATCAAAATATGTCTGATTATGTGAATATAATGTTAAGCATAAAAAAGCTGTAGTGTGAAGGTACAGGAGAAAAACTGCATTGTGTGACATGAATTTATCTATTGAAATTTCATTTAAAATGTCTCTATCACCAGTGGTTAAAGCTTGCAACACCTACCGGATGTTGCATGTTTCTATAACTGAAATTTGGCAGCCACAAACATGCCACGAAAGTGGAGTATTGAGAAAGAAGATCACCCAAAGTCTTTTTTTTCTACTTTGATTTTCTACTGTAAAACAGAACGCGCTCCAGGAGAGCCAGCTGACGACGTCGAATGTTGTCCATTTGTTTTTCTTCTTAAATCACGTTGGATCTCGCGAGTCTCCCTGGGATCTCGTCTCACTGTGAAATCATTACAATCAACAAGTGTGTGGTCTTGCGGTCCGGCTGAATCATCTAGTGTGTGCGTTCAGAGGATTATAGTTCTAAAAATCGGTTGAAACTGTCATTATGTCTGTGTTCTTTCACAGTTTTAAAAACGGTTAAAATTAAACAAAAATCATCTAGTGTGTCCCAGGCCTTATTTACTGATTGTTTCTATGGTTACTGATTATGTTCTTCACCTGTGTCTTATTTAGTTGCTCATTTTCTCTTGCCCTGTGTTTCTACCTTGAGTTGTTGGTAATTGTCTTTGTTAAGTTTGTAAAGTTGCCAAGTTGTTTACTCACCTACGGATTGCCTTCTTTGTTTTGTTAAAGGTGAAGTATGTAGTTTTTGTGACACTAGTGGAATTACAAAAATAAAGCATATTTTCAAACAACCTTGAAAGCACCCTTTTCGCGCGTCGAGCTCGAAACCCCAAACTCAAACATCACAAAAACAGAAATGGAAGCTTTAGCGTTAAGTTCTGCCAGGAAGACTCAATTGCTACGTCACTTATTACCTTCTCATCTATCCAATCGTGTCTAATACTTGCGGTATAAAAGACCAGTACTTACACATGTTTGAGTTCGCAGATGCTGACGCTTTCATTCACCTCCATCCTCCCCACCACCACCAGGATGGTCCCTTCCCCTCCATCCTCCCCACCACCACCAGGATGGTCCCTTCCTATACCTCACAGGGGGTCGGCTGCGCCCCTGCCTTCGTCTTCAGGCAGGAAATGCAGAGTCCGGACCCTCGGATTGCGAGCTATGGACGGGGCCTACGCCAAAGAACTTTATTGCTTGCTGGGCTATCAATAAATGTATTTATTGTTACAGTATTTATTCTCCCGAGTCTTTCTGGTAGAACTTACAGGTGCAGCTCCTATGGGTGAATCAGAATTACTAATGGGTTCTGTTTGCTTTTGTCACGCCACGCCGCTTGCAACCAGTGTAATGTGTGTTGTTTAAATAAACAGAGTGTAATTCCTCATGTTGGAAAAAAGAATACATTTAGTGTTTAGTAACAACTACAATCCTGTATTTTTATTCTTGACCTTGTTTTGATTTAAAGCAAATGTAGTCGTGGAGTTGATTCCATTAAGTCCTACGGTGGGAGTTGGAGTCAACCCCTGGAATCAAACCTCCTTATAAGGGTTAGGTTCCTCCTATAGGAAATACAACAGCTGTATCCGAAACCCCATATACCCTCATTTACTATTCCCTACATAACTCCACTAATATAGTCCACTGAGGGAGTGAATAAAAAGTTCTGCAGATGTCCATTATGGGAGTGAATAAGGGTGTATTCACACCAGGAAAGTCCGATAGTTCACTTGCTTTGGTCCGGACCAAATAATTTTTTTTTTTTTTTTTGGTACGGTTCGCTTTCACACTGCTCTTTTTGCAAGTGAACCAAAATTTGTAAACAAAACCACACGTGTGCTAAGGTCGTCCATTCATTGGACAAGGATTCTCAAGTAGGGAAATCAGAAAGTGCAAAAAAGGCTCAGCATGGAGATATTTCGTACTGCAATATTTTTTCTTTTACTAATTTTGTGTTATTCTGTACAAACGCAATATGAAGAAACTAATGAGCATCATATGATACAATGTCATCTATACGATGTTGTAATTCGGATTTTGAGAAGACGACGATGTGCTCCAAGACGGTTTCGGCGGGGAGAACATGCTCTCATGTGCGCCTACCATGGCATGCTGACAGTGGCACTGCGCAGAAGACGGATAAGGTATAAAGTTTTCATTCATAGAGAGGGGCTATGTTCACAGCGCAGTGCTTTCTTGCAATTGGGTCGCTTCATGTTCACACCGTAAACGAACTCTACCAGAGTTCGTTTGGAACCGTACCGAGACCACCTCTTCAGCTGGGTCTCGGTTCGGTTGTTTGCTCCGCACCCGAGTTCGATTGCTGTATTCACACCTGCCCAAAAGGTCCGCACCAAGGGGGGAAACGAACTAGAGTTCAATTCAATCGAACCAAACAAGGCAGGCAGGTGTGAATACACCCTAAGTGAACTCAATCTTTTTTTGGACGCCACTAAAACGGGACGTCTTCTCAAATAGTGCACTATATAAGTGTATAGGGGGCGATTTCGGACACAGACAAGAGTCATACTACGTACAAAGGCTAGGACACAGGTACAAACCATGAGGGACTAATGTGGAGAAACTAAAAGTCCACAAAACGAGCACAGAAAACAGGGCAATCATGACATAAGCAGGGTCGATGTTGATTTCATGTTGACTTTAATTACCACCCACACTGAAGTAGTCCTCAAACCTGCATTAATTTTGACAGGCAAATTGCAATGACCTTTTGTGTACTGAGCACATCCCATATTAAGCTTCACCGGCATTAAAGCAAATAAATATATAAATGTGTGACTCTCACAGGCAGTGCTGTGCGCTGAAGTGGTGATATATGCGAGCTGTGATTGATTTTTTTGGACACCTCGTGGGAGTGGGGAAGCTTCCAGAGGTCTCGCATCAGGTGCATTAGTGTAATTGGCTCTGAGGGTGAAAGAGTTCATCTCACTCCACCATAAAACACATCCTCCTCACTGTACTCGCATAAACACATAATTTAATCTGGTACGTATAGACAAATGTTCAGCACCAAACTCAATGTCAAACCTATTCATCTTTATGAGAGGTGTTGCTACGGCAAGTATATATATTGATGTTACTCATATACCTAAACTACCATTTAAAATAAAACACCTTAAATCATGCAAATCACTGAGGAGAGGTGTGTTGTTTCTTTAAAGTCAACATGAAATTAAAATCTATTTTCTAAATGCATATTGTAGATCATATTGTGAACAATTCACCTTTGAATATGTTTGATTTTATTTTTAATTTTTAATCAAAATATCTTAATAACTGGATCTTGCAGTGAAAACAACAGATTTTTCTCCATTCATTTAAGTCCACTTTAACCTGCCCCTGCAAGCACACATTCATCTGCCTCCATTTTAAAGTCCAATGCCCACATCTCAAAAGTCAATTAACAGCCGATGCATAAAACCAAGTTCCCACAAGTTCCGAGTTTCTTTTTCGATAATCCGTTACACTCGGATGTGATACAATACAGAAGAAAAGATATGTCGCTTGTGTTTCACTGCAACTTTAAGTGAACCGACTTACGGTTTTCATATGGTGGACACTGGACAGTAAAATAAGTGAAAAAATCCCACAGACTTACATCACTACATTACAATATTGTATCACTCTCTAAAAAAGTAACTAATTGCATTAGCCTACTTAGTTATGTAGCATGTAACTAACACTTAGTTAAAGGGGTGATGAGCTGAGAAATCAAATTTTGCTTGAGCTTTTGACATCTAAGAGGTCATCAAATTATAAGAATATCCTGTAAGTTTCAGAACTGAAAACGTCCTTGTTTGTCCAATAAAAGCTTTTATTGACACCAGGCTCAGCAAACGACTCGTTTTTCAAAGTGGGGAACTATGACGACAAAGAGGATAAAACACCACCCCCGCAGAAGAAGATCAACGCCTACTTCAACACGGCCGGTTTAGCCCCGCCCACCGATTCGCGCATTACACGAAACTCATTATAATATTCAAAGCTGTTATCCACTCAAAGCAGTGGGCGTTTACTTCCAAGTCTTCAATGCGAGACGCCCATAAAAACCGAGCGTTTGTGAGCTAGGCTCAAAACTAGGGTAGAAAATAGCCTATTACTTATTCATTTTGATGTTTTTGAATGTAAAAACCAAGCGAACGTCATAAGTTGACCTCAGAGAACAATATAAAACAATTTAAAAAGCCAGTTCATGACCCCTTTAAATGCAAATTCACGCCTGTACAAACCTTTCAGCTGTCCAGCTGACACGGAAGAAGAAAGTGCAACACTCTTACTTCCGCAATAATAACAAAAAAATGAAACAGAAATGTAATGTTTATCTCAAGTCATTTTTGCTTATTTTTTATGGTTGAATTAGATCATCAAATGTCAGCAACGAAGACATTGGTTAATAAAGTGAACGTATATTTGTGTAATTTAACATATTTCATTATTGCAGGTTTGCGTAATATTCCGAGTTTGCATTTGACTGTATTTATTCATTTTGAGGATTGATACTTAATCTGTGCAAGTGAGATGAGTACATGCATGCTCATATTTAGTCTAGATCACCAATACCCATCATGTTTACCCAGCACACACAACGCCTCTGCACTTACTCCTGATTTCTCTCATCATGGGGACAGGAGAGGTGTCATACAATAGATGGGAAAACAAAGTAACTCATGATGTCGTCTGTACGTGGAAAACTCAAAGGAAAATCTTCTCATAACGTTGTCGAGTAAACGTACCCGTAGTTTGTGCATACATGAATGTGCTCTAGCACCCAAGGAAACACGGGAGTATGATGCAAGTGTCCGTGATTGAATCAAACATCTGTAAACAAAGCAAAACAATGGAGAACAAATATAGTAAAGTAGACATCAGATGACAAGTTTGTTATTTACAACAATAATCTAACTGTGACGGGTGGTTGCAGGAAGGTAGACGAAGATGATGAATATAATTCCAACACAAAGTTTAATGACGATAATACAAAAAATAAACAGACAGGTAGGGCAACACACACTAAATGCAACATAGACCGAACAGAGAATGAATGTGAGGGATCAACTTATAAACAAACACAAACGAGGATAATTAATAGGACACAGCTGAAACCAATGAACACAAAAGAGGAGCGGGAAAACTGAACAAAGGAACACATGATTAGAATGAAAACAAACTAAAAGTCCATGATGACAATGGTGACATGTCGCCCCCCTCTGGCAAGGCGTGACCTCGCACCGTGGCAGAACAGAGGGAGGGCCGGAGGGGGCTTTGGAGGAGGACGAGGAGATGGCGAAACGATGCAGGGAGGCTGAAGTGAAGGGCTGGAGGCAGGATGGGGTGAAGGGCTGGTGTTGGTGGGACGACGAGACCCAGATGTTGAAGGTGGAGGAAGTCCGATGGCGCAGACCCAGAGCTCCCCAGAGCCGACAGCCCACAGCGGAGACGAATGCGGGAGGAGCCTAGATGTAGGCTGCCGACATCTGGGGGACGACGAACGGAGACGAGGGCCCAGGATCCGATGGCACACACGAAGAGTCGATGGTGCTGAGCGACATCGCTGGTGCTGGCGACCCAGGCGATGTCGCGGCGACGAGCGTCGTAGGTGGAGCCAGATCACTCGAGGACTGAGGTGACGGCGGTGAGACCGAGGACAGAGGCGATGGTGAAGGAAGAAAGGAGCCCACTGCAGCCAAGGGGGAAAAGGGACGTAGCAGATGTCCTGTATATCCGTGGCGTAAGTGGAGCGACGACTGACCAAAGGGGGAGCCGGTGGGGACGGAGCAGAAGTTACGACGTCAAAGACGATTCGATATTTTTGAACCAACATGGTTGATTGATGTTACAAAGTCACTACAGTTTCGAGAAAGAGTGGTGACTGGCTAGTTCATTTCTCCTAATGTATTGTACTATGGTACTTAAGCAGAATTCACTGTGCCTTGTCATTGTACATCAAACGCATCCCACAAAAACCACCTAGCAAACACCCAGAACACCCTAGCAACATTGCTGGCACCTTGCCTGGCCACATCTGGCAACTTGTTTTGATCCAGTCAGTAACATGCTTGTTTCAGTGATCAAGACACGCAGGTTTATGTTTGGAATTAAGGATGAACACTTGCAATTCTAACATTGTATCCAAGGATCAATACAGAAAAATATTGATACCAAATGTTTGTTTTTTTTTTACTTCAAATTAAACCTTAGGGAGGGAAAATAAACAGACTCTCATTCAAACAGAGAAAGCCGATTGAGAGACCACCAAACACACTATATAAAAGGCATGTGCAGGTACTGTATGTGTGTACGTCTTTAAAAATATGCTGCAAAAGTTTCAATTATCTCATCTCAACCTTTTCAAATTAAAGGGTTGGTTCACCCAAAAAGGAAAATTCTGTCATAATTACTCACCCTCATGTTCCAAACCCGTAAGACTTTCGTTTATCTTCGGAACACAAATTAAGATCTTTTTGATGAAATCTGAGAGCTTTCTGTCCCTCCATTGACGGCTACGCAACTACCACTTTGACGCTTCAAAAAGTTCATAAAGAGATCGTAAAAGTCCAACATTTTCTGAAGAGACTTGATCGCTGTATATGATGAACAGATTGAATTGAGGCTTTTATTCACATTCATCAACTCACACATCAGTTGTGGTAAACGGAAGCTGTTTGCTTGACGTGTGAGAGCCAATGAGGTTCATTCTCGTGTTACGCAGGATGTTTGAGCTTCATCATGAGGTTTGTTCTCGAGCGTCAAGCATGTTCGGTTGAGCTTCTGTTTATGTTTCGCTGATCAGTGTTTATATGTGAATAAAAACCTAAATTAAATCTGTTCATCATATAAAGCGATCGAGTCTCTTCAGAAAATTTGGACTAAACCGCTCAATTCATATGGATTAGTTTTACAATCTCTTTTTGAACTTTTTGAAGCGACAAAGTTTCATAGCTGTCAATGGAGGGACAGAAAGCTCTCAGATTTCCTCAAAAAGATCTTCATTTGTGTTCCGAAGATGAACGAAAGTCTTAATGATGACGGAATTAAAATTTTGGGGTGGACTACCCCTTTAATTCGACACCCCTGGCTTCTTATACATTTTTTGCACTAAAATTTAAAAGTAACTAAAAAATCTCAATGTGTGTAGGGTCTCACCACTGTGACCGTGTGGTGGGCAGACACAGGCTTGTTCTCCACACGGTCGATGTTTTGCAGGAAGTTGATGTCTGACTGCCTCTGTGGAGCTCTTTGGAAATGGGATTCTAGAAACACTGCAGGCATCAGCTTGGCCAACCGACCACGGGACTGGGTCTGAAGCAATTCCCCATGAAATCCCAAATCCTTTCCCTGGCTGAGGACACCCGAGTGCTGACGCACGGGGCCAGACATTCCATTAGCTATGCGTCGATGCGGTCTCTGATAAACTTCATCGTCCCCAGTAATGCCCCCTGAAACAAGAGTTTCACGTCATAGCTGTTATTATATAATGACTGGAATACTGTTTTAAACCAATTTCAAGCCAGGGCCACAACAGTACATTTTATAATATATATTTTCCCCATATTAAATATAACTTTTGTTGTCTTGTTTTGTAAATATGCACATGAAAACACTTATAACACAATAAAACACAATAACTCAAAGTGAATAACTTCAATAACTCAACACTGTAATTAAATCTGACTGACTGGCGAGTGTAAGAATGTAAAATATCCAATAATCATGCATAAAGGAAATGATTTTGATGTCCAATACAAATGAACCTTGGACCTCTTGGAGCCAAGAAAATTAGAAGCCTGAGAATCCAATTAAAATAAATGTCATTCACTCTCAATGAAGGTTCTTTATTGGCATCTATGGTTCCATGAAGAACTTTTAATATCTATTATATCTTTAAGAGTGTTGATGAACCCGAAGATGACAATAAATGCCTTTTATTCTATCTATCTATCTATCTCGTTGATGGTTACAGCTTTAAGATGTAACTAGAACAGTATGATAAAAGAAAGAAAACTCACACTCAAGTCAGCCTTAATAAATAATTATTGCAAATTATGAATGATTTTGTTTAAGTGCTAAAAAAGTGAAGTAAGATATATTTAAGCCTGTTTTGTAATATATTGTATCATGCAACATCAAAATGAATATTGTATGGGCATGACAGGCGCAATACAACGGCTAACGTTACAGTAAAAAAAGAAAAAGTAATGAATATCTGCATTATCTGCTATTGTAGATCTGAGCTTCAGAAATGACTGTGCATAGGTGATATTCTTATTCATTTTAGCATTGACTAGAAATGTTGACTAGATAAACATTTTCCTGTCTTATAAAGGTTCGCATATTTCACTATTTCCATGACATGAAATTGGTTTTATTTACTCCTAGCCTTCAAATGATGCAATTGCCCATATTATTAAACCATATGCATTTGCCAAATAAACGCCGAATTCACTCTTACAGTGGAAAATGAGAAAATTATTACAGCAAGAATTAAAACAAACATCGATATCGATATTGTTTTAGCCTTACCTGTGACGTGAAATCCCATCAATAAAGAAATAACGAGTAATGCCGCGTTGACGAACATGATTCTCCTCGTTTTATTAAAAATACATTATGCCTTTATGAAAGTCAGTCGAGGCTGCAGTGTCTCTATGGTTAAGACACTGAAACGATGGCTGTTTAATACAATAATTCCGCTTCTGCTGTTATCACACACCCTGATGTGTCTCTCTAGCGCTGAGAGGATTCATTTAGCGAGTCGATTCGCTTGATCGATTCATTTTATAGAACCGATTCAGGCTATGTTACGTCTGGTCCATACCAAATCAAAAAATAGTAATTTAAATAGTAATCTTTTAAACCTGTTGTTTATTTTAGTCAAATACAACTGTAGTAAAACGAGAATAGCATACATTTCTATAGCTCGCTGAACAATATTTTTCTGTGATGAATTAACCATTCATTAATGTTTGAGCTGTCTTTACCATTTACTTCTGTTTGTTATGTTTAATGCTACGTTGTTTAGGATTCAAGTAAGTACCCACTCACCTCACAAACTAGGTTCTTGTCCAATGATTAAAAAATGCTCTGCGATCCGGTTTTAAAGAATCTTGAGAACCCGTTCAAAGGAACGATTGATTAATTTGTGAATCGCTATTTCTCAGAAGAGAACATGAGAAGTAGAAAATCATAAGATGAAAAATTAACAAGCTTTATTTGCCAACATCTTTTACTAATGAATAAATGCATCTGCAGATTCTGCACATCTCGAAACTGATAGCACATAGTACACCACGGACGGAGACGTCTATTTGATGTATCTGGTAGACGTATTTTTGAGATGAGTATATGAGTGCATCTGCAACACGTCTATAGGACATTTCCTGTCAGATGTCAAATAGACATTTAGAAAATGTCTTTTAAGATGTTTATGATTTAGAATGTATGTAAGACTGACATCTTAAAGATGTCTATCAGATGTTAGTAAACAGCAGATGCTTTCCAGATGAAGTGATCTTTAACAGACATCTTGCAGACGTACGTGTGCTATCTTATATCATAATAATAATTGATTAGATCATTGCATCCATTAAGAAGACCTGGCAACTTTCAGACAAGGATTTGTCAAGGCAACTCAATGTTGTTTGCTCAGTCAAGTCAAAAAGACTTAAATCTATCAGATGTTTAATCCCAAGGCACAGAAGAGAGAGAGAGAGAGAGAGAGAGAGAGAGAGAGAGAGAGAGAGAGAGAGAGAGAGAGAGAGAGAGAGAGAGAGAGAGAGAGAGAGAGAGAGAGAGAGAGAGAGAGAGAGAGAGAGAGAGAGAGAGAGAGAGAGAGAGAGAGAGAGAGGGGTACTTAAAAGCAAAAGCAAAAAAAACTTAAAAGCGAGGTAGATATTAAAGCAGTCTTGCGTGAAATGTAGTCTTTGATTCTCAGTCAGCATCACTTGGTTCTTTGTGCGAAAGCTTCTTTTATAGACCAGGCTTGATCAAGAAAGGGCTGTTAAGTCACATGATGGCCTCTTCTTCATTCAGAACTCAGGCTAGCATTCATAAAAACCAGGACATTGACTGCAATGCCATGTTTTTGCTTAGTGACGCCTTAATGAACATGTATTTTCTAGTATGTTCCTTCTACAACGATGAATGCTCATCCTCAAGCACAACTCATCGTCATCTTCAACACCTCATAAACATCCCACAAATCCTCCATTTCTTACTCATGAGCTCTTAAGAGGAGATCATTTTGGATGTTTTTCCTTCTTAAACAATTCAGATCTGCCAAGTCAGTCTGCTGTGTCGTCTTGTGGCAAACATGTACTGTAGACTCTGCTGTTGCCATGGCAATCTGATGTCTGACATTCACCATGCAGCAAAACGCATCCCTGCCAAAATGCATCGCCCAAAATAGATCTGATGTATTTTATACGATTAGTTGGAAGGTAACTGCACTCCTGGAGTTGAATCCATCTTGGTTAATTGATATACGTAGTGAAGAACATTATATAGAAACTGTGTCTATTCCTCGTTTAGTGAAGCCAAACAATAAATCTAGTGCAGGATCTAGCAAAAATCTTATTGTAATTAAACCAGAAAATCTAAATATCAGTGAACAAAAAGAATTTCTAAAGCTAGGTCTTCTAAACATTAGATCGCTCACACCTAAAGCGGTTATTGTAAATGAAATGGTCACAGATAATAATTTCGATATACTTTGCCTTACTGAAACCTGGCTTAAACCAAATGAGTATTTCGGTCTAAATGAGTCTACTCCGCCAAGATACTGTTATAAGCATGAGCCCCGTCTGACTGGTCGTGGCGGCGGTGTTGCAACAATCTATAAAGATATTCTTAATATTTCTCAGAAAACAGGTCACAGATTTAATTCGTTTGAAGTACTTATGCTAAATGTTACGCTCTTAGATGTAAGAAAGAAATCCATATTATCTCTAGCCTTGGCTACTGTATATAGACCTCCAGGGCCATATGCTGAATTTCTAAAAGAGTTTGCAGACTTTCTCTCGGATCTATTGGTCAATGTCGATAAAGCAATAATTGTTGGAGATTTTAACATACACGTAGACAACAAAAATGATGCGTTAGGGGCTGCGTTTACAGATTTATTCAACTCCTTTGGGGTCAAGCAAAACGTCCGTGGTCCCACTCATCGTCTAAATCATACACTAGATTTAATTATATCATATGGAACCAATCCAACTGATATAGATATTATACCGCAAAGTGATGATGTCACTGATCATTACATGGTAACGTGCATAATACGTACTGCTGAAATATGTCATGTTGCGCCACGTTATAGACCAGGCAGAACAATCCTTCCAACCACTATAGATAGATTCTCAAATAGCTTACCTGATCTATCTCAGCTGCTCAGTGAACCCAAACAAACAGATGAACTAGAGGAAATGACTAGCAGTTTGAGCACCATTTTCACTAGTACATTAGATATTGTTGCACCAATTAGATTAAAAAAGGTTAAAGAGAAAACTAAAGCACCATGGTACAACAGTGTTACGCATGATATCAAGAGAGAAACTCGTAACCTAGAGCGTAAATGGAAACAAACTAATTTAGAGGTCTTTAGAATCGCGTGGAAAGACAGTATGTCACGTTATAAAAAGGCTCTAAAAACAGCCAGGGCTGAGCACCTCCGCAAACTAATAGAAAATAACCAAAATAATCCAAGGTTCTTATTTAACACCGTGGCTAGACTAACAAATAAACAGACATCACCAGAGCAAAATATACCGTTACAGTTTAGTAGTAATGATTTTATGAATTATTTCAATGAGAAAATAGAAAGCATTCGAAACACAATTATAAATGTACAATCCTCTATGGTCTCTTATGATTCAGCCTCAATTATCGTCCCTCAAGAACAACTACACCGCTTTACAACTATAGGACAGGAAGAGCTAAATAAACTTATCATTGCATCTAAACCAACAACATGCTCATTAGATCCAATACCCACTAAACTACTGAAAGAAGTGTTACCTGTAGTGGAAGGTCATATTCTTAGGTCATGTTCCAAGAATATTCAAGTTGGCAGAAATAAAACCTCTCATTAAGAAACCGCAACTAGATCCAAATAACCTAGCAAATTACAGACCCATTTCAAATCTTCCATTTATGTCCAAAATACTAGAAAAAGTTGTATCCGCTCAACTGTGCTCTTTTTTGCAAGAAAATGATATCTATGAAAAATTCCAGTCAGGATTCAGACCGCATCATAGTACAGAAACTGCGCTAGTTAAAATTACAAATGATCTACTCTTAGCTTCTGACCAAGGCTGTATCTCAATACTAGTCCTACTTGATCTTAGCGCCGCGTTCGACACTATAGATCATAAAATACTCTTGGATCGACTACAAAACTACACTGGTGTTCAGGGACAGGCATTAAGCTGGTTTAGATCGTACTTATCTGACCGTTATCATTTTGTCTCTTTACACGGGGGAAAATCAAAGTTAACGTCAGTAGACTACGGAGTACCGCAAGGATCGGTGCTAGGCCCTCTGCTATTCTCAATATATATGCTGCCACTTGGTAATATTATAAGAAAACATGGAATTAATTTCCACTGTTATGCAGACGACACCCAATTATATATTTCATCACGACCAGATGAAAACATTACCTCATCTAAATTGACAGAATGTCTCAAAGATATAAAATGCTGGATGACGTGTAATTTCCTGCTATTAAATTCAGATAAAACGGAGGTATTACTTATTGGTCCAAAAAACTACACACAAAACCTCTTACAATACGACTTTAATATAGAAGGATGCCCTGTTACTTTTTCCACTACAGTAAAAGACCTGGGTGTTATACTAGACCGCAACTTGTCTTTCGAAAATCATATTTCATCTGTTACAAGAACAGCCTTTTTCCACCTTAGAAACATTGCTAAATTACGTAACATGCTATCTGTTTCTGATGCAGAAAAGTTAGTTCATGCATTCATGACCTCGAGACTAGATTACTGTAATGCTTTATTAGCTGGTTGTCCTGCATCCTCAATAAACAAGCTACAGTTAGTGCAAAATGCAGCCGCTAGAGTTCTTACTAGATCAAGAAAATATGATCATATAACACCGATTTTATCATCTCTGCACTGGTTACCTATTAAGTTCCGTATCAATTACAAAGTACTACTACTGACCTATAAAGCCCTTAATGGTTTAGCTCCTATGTACTTAACGGACCTTCTTTCGCCCTACAATCCACCGCGTTCTCTAAGATCACTAAATTCAAGGCTTCTGGTCATTCCTAGGATATCGAAGTCCACGAAAGGAGGGAGGGCATTCTCGCATTTAGCTCCAAAACTCTGGAATAGCCTTCCCGATACGGTCCGATGCTCTGACTCGCTGATACAGTTTAAAACTAGACTAAAGACGTGTCTCTTTAGTCAAGCATTCACATAATGCTTACCTTTTAGTCCTCTGCTATGCCATACGGAACCGTTTGCCACTGAAACTGCTTAACGCACCAGTGGGGCTCGACAGCCTTATAGACAAACGGGTCGGTCCGTATGGTTGCGGTTGGGTTGCGGAGAGTTTGGGTTGCGGAGAGTTGTGAGATTATGGTTTTCTAACACCTACTCCCGTGTAATGGAAATCATTATGAACATCAGCTATGCTAATTATTTCCCATCTGCCTTTCTGCTGTTATCTCGGGACGCTTGTCCCGAGAAAAATGGCGTTCGTAGGCTCCAGTTTGGTATCCTGC